AGCTCCTCCTTTTAGTGAAGAGCTGACATTCGAGACAGTACTCTTAATCACTTCCAAGCGGTAAGCGGATCCAATCAGCTCAATATTGAGACTTTCCATCTTTAGAGGTTAATACACTTTGGACTTGAAAAACCAATTTTTTGGAATTCGAGAAAACAGGCTTATAGAGCTCGACGAGCTGAGTCTAATGGTATAGTTTTTCGTGTCGAAAAGTGAAAAGAAATCAAGTTATATAAAAAGACGAAAAAGACGCGGATCCGCGTCTTCCGCGGCATTTTCAACAAAGTTATGGGAGGTACTGTATTTCCGGATTAGCAAGTGAGGAAGCAAGGGCCTAATGAAAAGGAGCGACACTTCTGTCCTCCCAATATGGTCTAACGTGTCCATTTCAAACTCATGGGGGTGCAGGCCAAAACTGTGGAAGCTACAAGATCTGTTGCTCAAAGTGATATCAGCAATACCTTGCTAGAACACATAATTCCATTCGGTTTGGAAGATTGGAGCCACCTGCATTGGTGAGGCTGACTTCTCCCGAACGCTCACTCACTGAGAAACGATCGAATTCTTGAGTGCCTGAATGTTTATTCTTCAGCTTTTTCTATTTCCACGTGGGTGCAGGGCTGATTGCAGAGTACACCGCATAGGAACCCAATAACTACAAAGAGGAAACCCACATTTTGGCAAAAGATAGTAGTGTAGAGCATCGCTGTTCCCTTTTGCGGCTGAAACACGTCCAACGGCCAGGTCAGTGGGCTTGGAAGGACGTGGCACAGTGAATAGCGTTGTTGAACCCTGAAATTAATCACATGAAGATGAGTTGACAATGTGGAGAAGCGACCAACCTTAGGGAACTCGGGAGGGACGTCGTCGACGTCTTCCACGGCGACTCGAAGCACCCGCGATGCATTCTTACTCGGATCGAACACGTTCCATGCGCTTACCACAAGCTTAACAAGAGGAGCTTTAAGGAGAATTGATGTCGGCACTTCTCATGTCAAGGCATTCTTCAATCTTCCTCTTCCCAGAAGACGGCACGAAGACTTCTGTGAACGTCTGGCAAGCCCGTCTTCATCCTTCGGTATCATTTTGTGAGCTCTCTGTTTTTGAGTTAGTGCGTCGATAGGTTGGAATCAGTGTGTTCAGAGAAAATAGTAAATTCTTTATACAACACCCGAAGAATGTAGAAGCTTTGGAAATCATCGATCGAGTTTGTATTCTCTATAGAAACTGAATAAAATACAAAAATATGTGATTTGGATGGACAAAATGGCAAAATATGGACAATCAAAATGTAAGACCGTCATGGGATTGATGTCTGATACCATAAATAGAGAGGCCAATGATGTTGAATGAGACAAGTGAATGAGTACGAAGTTTCGTGTAATCGTTGTCGAGCAGTAGGACCGAAGTCCGAGGTCGAACTGGTGCTGGAGTGAGCTTCCAATAGGGCGCATGCCAATCGGGTGTCTCCGAGTGCACGAACGGTAACAGACGATGATAACATCGCTGATAGACCCCTGAAAAAAGTGAAAACTGTCGCATGAGAAGAAGCGCTGTTGAGGCCACAAAGGTAAACATCGCCGCTTATTTGGCCATCCTCTAGAATCAACAACTTTTGGATCGTTTAACGGGTTCTTTCTCGAAAACAACTCGTTTGCATTTCGACTTAATCGTATTAGCTCCGCATAAGGAAAACCCTGAGAATGGACGCGCCACAGGAGGTCGCCCAATGGCCATGGGAACTGTTGCACGCTAACTGACCAGGCGAGCGGTATTGTCAACGTTGACCTTAATACTCTCTGAGAATAGGTAGGGCAGTGCTCTAGAGGACTCGTTGCAATGCCGAAAAAACCGTAGGATCTTGTTCGCACAGCAAAGTGCGCACAACTAACCAGCTGTGGATATGGGGATCGCCGAGGGTAGAGCTTCAAGTTTTAGGAATCGGAAAAAGGCTATCAATCGCTTAAATTGAACAGGATACGCAATGGGAAGTTGCGAAGTCAAACAATTTCTTTTTGGCAACTCAACACTTTGACCAATGGTAGCAGGTTCCTCGCAAATTGTTTGCCTGAATACCTGCTGTCAAACTTTGATGATTATGCAGAGGTACGGTAGCACTGCTATTACAGCAAGTTATGGCTTAGAGCAAGCACTGGACGACTCAACAATCTGATCAATGGTCAGAGCGGATCCGGATTGTTCAGAGGAAATAGAAGCAGAACCAGCCCGGGTCGAGAAATCTCCCGTGTAAGGACCGAGAATAGAATTATTGCTTGAGCACAACAGCTTTGTTCCATCAAAGCCGGTAATTTGCTTCACAAGTAGCTGACTATTTCACCCCGAGGTGATTGCAGTTTCGGAGGGTCAACGGACTTAGGTAGGAATTTCGGAAGTTTTTCCAGAGAGGATCAAAATATGACACCTTTGTGGGTAGGGGGAGAAGCTCAGGGGGACGTTATTGAATGTCATTTTGAAACACAGAGGGAATAATTATTTTAAATTTTGTTGATATTGAACACATCGCCGCGTACATACCGCAGCTCCAACCAATCGTCACCGGTTTGAACAGTCAGCGAAGTTCCAGATTGGTGATAAAAGTTGTTTTTATGAAAGAAATCGGGCGAAGTCCGACGTTTGAAAAGATTATTCTCGCGTCACTCATGCATACCGAAAATAGCGTGAGCCAATGACTCGGGAGACGCAGTTGGTCGTGAAAGGCGACCTGCTGTAATTTGCAGCATTGTTTTGAACCCTCGAGCTAGTTACTACTTCAAAGACGTTTCAAATAACCTCGAACTCAGTTGATACTTGAGTACACACTGCAAAGCCATTCTCGACGGTGAATTTCAGAAGTTATCTCGAAAATTGATCGCCGATGCATACCGACTTCACTAGGAAATTGAAGGATATTGAACGTGACGTCACATTGTCTCACGCAGGATTTGCGAGATTGCTGACTGTATTGAGGCATCTGTCTTTCCCTCCCTCCATATCGACCTGCGAGAAATTCAGAGAGGGACCTAGAGCTCTGGTGTGGGCCCTCCAATCCATAGGTGAAGGCCAAGCGCGATTCTTGATGACAACCCTCTCTTCTACAGTATGTCCCAGGAGTTCCTTGACATGTCGTTTGCACAGCGTTATAATCTGTATTCACAAGTTTGTAAAAAGGTATGTCGTCAGATTGCGACGTCAGTCAATAATCGATAAATAATCCCTGGAACCCCCGGAGTGTAAACGCCCATTACGTGATAGGCGAATACAACAATCGAGTCGTTTTTCTTTTTTGCCATTAAATGTAATGACAAATGCTTCCTACCCCAGGTCACGTAGGTAAGGCGTGACGAATGTGCACAGATTGTGGCGTAACCCCTTATGGAATCGCGCAGCGCCAAGAAAGGGCAGTCCTGTGGCGAGGACTCTCACGTGCTAAGGATTAAAATGTAAAGGTGAAGAGGAAAAACTGTAAAGCAATGGAGACCTTGTACTGCTTGGAGTTCGTTATCGTTGAAAATGTTCTCCTCGGTCCTCGCCTCGGCCATTCGTATCGGTAGCGCCTCTCTGGACCCTTGTAGATAGAGAATTCGTCGATTATTTTCGAGAAGTGAGCGAAGCATTTGTTGCTTCAGGCTGAAACAAACACTCAACCATAGAGGGAATCTTTTCAAAAGAAAACTATCACGGACACAAGCTCTTGCTTTCTGCATCGTCTTGCCAGGGGCACAGAGAAGTGCAGCTCGGAGGCAACGATCAGCATCTTTCGTCCAACAAACCACCGATTGAACTCGGCCAAGATGTCGTCGAGGAGCACCCCCAATCCGGCGTGTGCCGCCTCGAATACGCACGTAACGCATTTGGATTTGTAGACGTTTCTGCTGAAAAAAGAGCACTCTTATCCCCAAAAGTCACGTCTTCAACTTGGGAAAATTCGAAGCCAAATTCCGAACACCTCAAGAATGACTCCATGGTTTCGAATAGTAGCGCATCACGAGGCCGATGAATGTTGGACGTGGCCCAGACATCTCCATGGGAAGCGTGAAGTCGCTTCCTTGGAGTGGATCGCTTTTTGTAAAGATGTCCATTTGGTCGGGCAAGACTCGGAGACCTTCAATACGAGCACTTCGTTCGCGGATCATCAACCATAGTGGTGTCACACGATTTGTTCCATTTAGCGCGCAATGTAAACGACACTCTGTTCATGGACACTCTTCATACAGAGACATATGCGTCGACCCACCTCTGCTGTCGAAGAGTCTCTGAACTGCTGGAGAATTCCCACGGCGAGTTGGTCAGATAACCGCTTTCACGACTGAGGCACAGCTGAGAGAAGAAAAAGGTACCGCTAGCGAGCTTCGAGGAGAGCACACAGGAGGAACTCACCTTATCGATGTCCTGGTTTTTCAGCCGTGGGATGGAGAGCTGTGGAAGAGAAGAGAGAAAGGAAAACTGATCCATGGGTCGACCCAGTTCGAGATTATCCAGATCGGTTGTGGTTGAGCTGTTCGATGCTGGCGTCGACTCAGCGATGATCAAGTTCTGCAGAGATCTGAGTCGGGCGTACGCATAGAGACGGACCAGAGCTCGAGAGAGATCCTTCGATCGGCTATCCCGCGAAGGTGTTGAGTCACTCTGGTGACGATGTCGAGTCGAAGGCGACACGTTTTTCGTTTTCGCTGTTTTGTTGTTCAATACGACAACGTCGTCACAAGGCAACGACGACGAGCTTTCGTCCTTTTTCGAGCGCCGCTCCCTCCGTCGTCCACCGCCAAGTCGACGCCACAGTCGCGCGATCCGTCGCTCCAGCTTGTCCATACTCACACTGGTCCTCTGTCAGATTGAAAGATAGTGACCTAAAGAGGAACAACGAGGCACTGTGATGGAACAATTGAAAATGAAGCGTTTAGGAGAGTGTGACCTGTTGAGTTGGCGTGAGACTGGGATGGATGAGCAGGGTGGGCGGCACCCACACTCCGGATTCACGTTCTCTAACTGAAAACACGGAATTCTGCAATAACCAACGACATTATAACGGGATCGGCAAACAAATCGAAACGAAACTAAGAGCAAGAGCAAAATCAACAAAACGAGGGTAAAAAGGGGGACGAGGATGATTCAATGTTGAGATGAATGCATAGTGTTCGTCCTGCTAGGGCTGATCATAGTGCAAAACGATACCACGGCAGGAGGACTGTTGGCGAGAACGTTCTTCGAACTGACGACGTTTCGGCTCATTGGTGATTACGGGTGGAGAAGCGGCACGAAAAAGCTAAAACCTCGCGGAAAGGTAAATAGAAAAACGCGTGTAAAAGTTGTTTGCCGAAGATAAGATCTCTGAAATCAACCACGCAGTGCAAACATGGATGATACTTGGCCTGCGGGTTCTTGTGGGTTCAGCAAAGTGGAAGTCTGGAGAGGGGTCAGGGAAACACAGCCGCTTTCTACCAAGTTAAGAAAATCTGATAAGGATGATTATCCGAGGAAAACACTTGGAAGCAAGGTTTCCAAGAAGTTTCCGAGAGCAGCCTATGAGAAATGAAGGAGGATTTGCCGAAGATGGGAAAGGAGGAGTCGTGCGGGATCGCAGGAAGAGAAGCGATAACGGAGGATTGGAGAGGGTCGGCTGAGGACAGTTATGTGCTTTTTGCTTACTGCTGATGGCTCCGACCGAGATTGAGGTGTTCGCGATTATTCAAAGAGACGGCTGCGGGACACCAGCAAAAAGGGATTGGACGAAGAAGACCATGAGTGATTATTCCACCGTGAGTCCCCGAACGGGCAATGAGTGCCTTAAGACGAAACGAGAGAGCACAGAAGTGAGTGGGTAGAGGTTACGAAAGGTCCAGCGACAGCTGAGCAAACAAATCTGAACATCTACAATCAAATTCCAATTATCAGCAGTTCAGTCGAGCAAACAAGACACACGAAGGCGGTGACGCAATGGTTCAATAGCGATATCGAGCGAACAGGTGAGGGACCTGAAAAGGGTTGATGTTTCAGGAGGATGGAGAAAAATTTGGATGCAAAGGTGGAGGAGAAGGGCGGGGGCGCACAAGGTGTTCTCCTTAGATGAAGAGCTTTGGACTAAAAAGCAGGGAGTGGTGGCTAACGATTTGGACATGAAACCCTTCAGAGTAGGACAGATTTATCATTCGACTCTACAGGTTGCCATTGGCGGCCAAAGAAAACCAGTAACGGTCACGGGAGATCTTTTTGAAAGAGTGTGAAGGGCATAAAATCCCACAGCTATTGCCTAGGGAGAAATCAATTCCACAAATAATAGGACTGTCAGCGACGGGTGACGGTGCCGCGGCAGCAGCGCTCGGGTACCTGCACGCAGGGTCTGGTGGCGGGTCGCCGCGGTACCGCGAAGTGTTCGCAAAAACAGAATCCGCCCATCAATGCTGACACTTTCCGTCATATGCTATGTGACATCTGTTGGAAATGTGCGAAACTCGTCCGCTACTGAAGACCTCAAAACAGTATCGAACGAACGGCAATGATTGATCTGCAGGTTAATGATTTAGGACAAGTAGTAGCTGAGTGCTTAAAATATGGCCTAGACGGCTGCAAAGAAGCTCTCACCTATGGAACAGGTAGGAGCAGAGCGTCACGCTCTGAAGGCTCCTGTAAAAGAACAAGAAGACAAGATGGCCGATAAGAAGGGCGACTATAAAATCCAGCAGAATGGATGCTATCTCATTTCTTTTTTGCTAGCCTTCTCAACTCATTACTATTGAGAACTCGTATCAGGGGGTCTGGTAACGCTGTTTGAACAGCTCAGCCTTGGCTGAGAAATGTCAAAATCAAAACCTGCCGTATTTCTTAGTTGTTGAAGACAACTTAAAAGGTCTGGGCTCAACAGCCACCTTTAAACATCTGACAAGCTTCCAGAACCATCAATCTCAAGTCCATGAAAAAACAGCCCTCGGAAAGCGTTGAGCTAGGCTAGGATTGGTTCCATTATCATCTCTTGTTCTGTCAACTCCTGCAAATGGCAAACAGCGGTGGTAGGTTCGAGAGCCAAATCCGTCCTGCTATGGCCAACTGGGCTATTAATCCCTTCTAGCTTCGATAACCAGTCATTAAAGGAGGAATTCACGATTAGAATGAAGGTCGAAGAAAGGGAAACTGACCTAGTTGAGGGACCCACGGACCTCCTGAGGGTGCGAACTGACGCGCAATTCGCATGGAAAAATTTGACCTCGGCGACCTATCATGCCTCAAAGCTGGCGGGTCCGGCGATCTCCGCCCACCGATCATCTGATCACTCGCCGTAGTTCAATACGTGGCGAGTGATTAGATAGCTGAGAGAGCGTAGTGTTGAAGAGGGCACAGCGATGAGAGTCGCATCAATGCTCGAATCAACGGGCAAGGAAGGGGTCCCATTTCTCGGGTTCTGGGCCGTTTCTCATGGTTCTTCCTTCTTTCGTGTACCACTCACCATCCCTAGGTTAATTTGAAATGGGTTGCTTTTTCATCGTGAATTCGTCCTTTAAA